ATTTATCTAACATGCGAAAGTGTCATTTAACTTTTTTATAGTGCGCATGAAGTTTTATTTTATATAATACTTAATAAAATAAATGATTACATAAAAACATCCCTATTACATAATAAATTACCTTAATTTACTTACTGTATTGTATTTCAATTTTCATACTACGTTTTAATTACTTTAGTTTGCCAATTCCATATATTCTTAACCATTATGCTGTTTTTTTCTAATATTTCTATACTATACCTCCCACTTGGAGTTTAAGAAGTTTTAAAATCACAAAAAAGAATTTATTACAAAATTTGTGAAGTTAAAATTTTATTTCCCTACATTCCGAATAGATTTACCGTCAATAGATTTCATCTATTCAAGCTAAACTATAAGCAGTCACTTGAAATGTTTGAAAAATTGCCCCCAAAACAATTAAGTAACTAAATCTCTAGCAGCGAAATTTACTAGTTATTGCTCGCAACAGCATTTATTCGAAGTAAAATAATAAATAAATTTCTACATGTTGTTGCTAGAGTTTAAATATAAATAAAGATTTGACAAAGTTAAACATATTAAAACGTATTTACAATTGTATACAGAATATAATATATTGTTGCCAAATACTTTTTGATTTACTTTTGTTTTACATATTGTTTTACTTTTGTTAAAAATTTTTTGAACCAATTAATTTTCCATTTTTTTATTTTGTTTTAAAAAAATCAGTATCTTTTTCAAATGTTTGACTCCAAATTAAACTATTTTGTGTAATAGATGAGGCAAAAACAAATTGTTTTTATTGCGACTTGTTAAATTACATTTCACAAAATAATCCATAAAAATGCAAAAAGTATGTAATTTTAAAGTTTCATATAATATTGTCGGTTTTTTTTGCATCTCAGCTGTTCATATGGTATTATTTTTAATTTAGTTTCTGGTCAGAATTTTTAATTTAGTTTATGGTTAAAAATGCTTATTCGTCGTAAAATTGGTGAGATTATTTAGAAATGGAAAATTTGTGGTCTGACTTTATTTAAACTGTCGTTTGTTCAGATTAATTAGTAATTTCTAAGTAGACTAATTTATGTAGCTTCTAGAATAAATATTATATAATATATTTTTTAGAGTGTAATGTATTTTACTTGGTACACTACACTGGATGTAGTAATTATTGACTTTCATATACTATGATGCTTTAATTTTTTATTAGTAATATTTTAGTATTTATGTTTTTTAGCTTGCTCTTAATGATGATAAAATAAAGGAAAATTAGGGAATTTTTTACTAACGTTTCTTTGTTTTCATTTTGATTTAGATTAACTCTATTAATTATCATCTAGATATTCATAGCATCTTTTTCTTTTAAAAAAAACTTTGGGTCGATTTTTTCTTGTGTGTAATGTTTGATCTAAATAAAAGGAAGCAAATAAATTATATGAAAAAAAAACATTATCTTCGCTAATGAGTATCAGATGAACCTTTATATACTTTAGTTCTCTTTTCAACAGATTCAGTGCAGTTTTTTTTTTCATTAAAATAATTGTTATGACTTTGTTGTTTCGGTTATTGCAAAAAATTACCATACTCAAAATTTACTGCTATCTTAGTACATTTGAGAAGATGATACTTTAATTACCTTGCATAATTTATTAAAGGGTGCTTTGAAACAAACTATAATGAATTTCGCGACATGAAGTAATTAACAGTTCTCTTCCTTCTTAGTTTTTTTTTACAGAGTAACTACAATGAGTTATCAAGAATTTAAACAATTCATGGATTAGTAATTTTTGTAGTTACATACCATGTGTTTTTTTTATTATTGAGTATTGAAAGTGAGGTCATTCTTTTCTCATCTATTTTAAAGTAAGAGGTATTATGTAGCATTGGAAATAAAAATAGGAAAATTATGTCAATAAACTTGTAAAGTTCTACTAGCAAAACAGCATAAATAATAAACCATATTTGTTTTACTTAAAACACTAATTTATAAAGGTCTTTATAATATTTAGCGTAATAAAGTACACTGCCTCACTTGTCTAGATAGTAATACCAGACCAGCAAAGAGCAAAAAATTGTGTTTCCACATGAAACCTATATAACTCTTATAACTTTTATTGGTTTGGATCTAATTTTATTGAACTTGAAGCAACTACATAAGATCCAAAGCATTGATTATCTATGTATAGCAATGTGATATGAAAAAAATAAGTATGAGTACAAAATAGTACTTTTTGTCCATGGAAGACTACTTAACTTTCAAACTATTCCTACCAACTTTTTTCAGTACCAAAGATATGTTAGAAAAAATACCTCACTTGTATAGATAGCCATGTTCTTCCGTCTTCCTCTGTCGTCCAAAGTTTCTAAGTAGTCAACTATTGGCTTTCGAAATTTCATGATGCATAAAGAAAGAAAAAGATTACTTCGAACATTAAATCACAAAGTTTCACACGGGATCAAGGAGAGTAATATTTAAAAAATACACAAGATTATAGTATCCTCAAGAAATACTATTAAAGTTTTATCTAAAATACAAGTCTAAAATAAATAAAAAATAAACAAATAGATAAATAAATAAAAAGCAAATAATTTGCGAAAACTAAATTTATTTTTATATGAAGGTAATTTATTCTCTGAATAAAACACAGCATTTTGCATGATTGAGAAATGACAATGATTTTAATGTTTAGGTTTTTAAAGTCATGAAATTTGCAAATCATTAAAACATATTAGTTTTTTTCTGTCTTTTACTTATAAATCTCTCTTCAGAAATGGACATTCGTTTTAAAACTTTAGTTTGTTGTTGATTTTCTTGGAAAAACCATCAAAACCTTTGTTGAAAAATGTGTTATTTTAAGCTGCCTTTTCAAAAATTTTTTTAAGTCTTAAAAAATTTATTTTAATAGTAAATTACCTTAATTTATTATACTAATAAAACTCGATATTTTGCATGATCGAAAATTGACGAAGACATAGGTCTTTAAAATCATGTAATTTACGAATTGTTGAAACATTTTCGATTTTTTTTGTTACTTATAAATTACTCTTTAGAATTGGACATTTGTTTGACAAAAGTATGTTTGTTGTTGTTTTAATTCATGAGAAACTTTAAAACCTTTGCTTGAAAATTTTGCTATTCAAAAGATAGTCTGTAGAAACAAATATTTTTGACATAATTTTGATTCAGCATTTGTTTGGATATAATTATTTTTTCCTTTTATACCCAACATTGAAGTCATTAGTTTATTTTAATAAAGTAATTTCTTTTAGAAAAAAAACATTTGTTTTTTATAAGTCATAGATTAGTATACAGTATTAAGTATAAAGGAGACTTTTTTTTATAATCGGTAACAAATGTCAAGATTTTGAAACTCTTTTTTTTTATTTGCACAGCTTATGAAACTATCGATTATTTTGACGTATAATGATTTGTCACATACAAAGAGCATACCTCTATGTACTTAAAAAAACTAAAAATACCTAAATAATTTTTTATCTAATGATAAGAATTTTGTGTGCAGAGATAAAAGTATATGAATTAAAGGATAATCATTGAATATGTTAAGTAATTAGTGAAATAATATTTCAAATTACAAAATTTGGCACAAAAATATTTCTCTAAATAAATGTAATATTTTATCGATGGATTTATGTTACATTTCATTCTGCAATGTTGAAAATGTGATACCGATGGGTACAACCAAACGATCTCACTGTTGATAATCTAGGTTTCTTACACATTTCAGCATATTCTGTAGACTATTTAAATGAGGCCACGAAAACCTAAAATGATACCAGGAAAACCATGAAAACCTCCCACGGTTTGCCCCTACGGCAAGTGGATTTTAATCTGTGATCCGTCTACCATCGATGATATTTTACATCAGAACTGTGGTCGATGTGAGCTGGGAACAGACCTGCCATCGCTGGGAATCGAACCTGTCTCACCTCAGTGGGAGGTGAATGCTTGATCCCTTGAGTCACCAAGGCTTTATAACGTTCTACTCCCCACATAATTAAGATTACACCTTAGTCTGTAAAAATCGTATTATTAAAGCAAAAGTTATTCAGTAGTTCCGTGTTTTTTTTTCACACCATACACCTATTCCCAATAATAAAACTTAGCTTATATTGCGGTTTTGCCCTTTTTTTCTGTATAGAATGTTTCAATTCATAAAGTTAATAAATTTTGCATGGAATTCTGAGCTTAATTTTCAATTTAAATGTCCTATAAATTATTTTAATATTACAATTTCTGAGTAAAATAGCATTAGAAAGTAATTGATAGTTTAGAAATATGTTAGCTTAGAAATATACTAGTTAAATATGAAACAAAAAGAAAACATTGCTCAAAATAAAAATCGGACTTCTTTAAAAGCATTTTAAACGAAAGAGATCAGATTTCTCGTAGTAAGATGCATTTTTAATGGTTTGAGGAATTAACTTTAAACAGGCTGATTATTTTGTGCAGATGATAATTTAAGCTACGAGATCAGATATAAAAACTACTTTTTCAAAATAAACACACGTTTTTGTGGATTGATTGAGATATTTGACCCATAAAATATTGGGGATTACCCAAAACCTGGTAGTTATGGTCTCAATAGTTTAATCAGCTATGCCCTCTTAATGTTGAATTTATTTAAATTCATCAGATTAAACTGCTGAGGCCATATTTTTCGAACTGCGATACCATTTTGGGGATCAAGAATTCAAATTCAGTGAAAAAAAATTTGCTCATTCAGGGAGGTTATGAGTCTGATTTCGTAATTTTAAAAGTCGTAAAAGATATATATTTATCACTTTGAAACATAAAGATTGCATCTTACAATGAGAAAATCTAATCGTTAGATCATTAGTTATTAAAATGTACCGTTTTTTTATATTTTTTCGATTGCAAACATTCGTTAATTTCTCAGTAATAACGCTAAATTCATGGCTAACATAAGCATGTTAATATTTTTTTAAGAAATGTATTTTGCTTAAAAAAGTTTTAAATGAAAGTTCTGTATTTTCAAATCATTAAATTTTAAATTTTATTATTTAAATATTTATCCGGTTCATATAAAAATCTGCTTAACTTTTTGTTTTAGGTAATATTTTAGATAATACTTTCTTTACAATCAAAATTATATTTTTTCTTGATATTTTTGGCAATATCTGGTAAATGATAAAAATTCGTTACTGTGATAATTTCAAACAGAACTGTTTTAAAATTTTTTAGTTATATTCACTTTAGTTGATTCTCTACGATACTTCCATTGAAGAATTATTACTAATGATTATTTCAGTTATTTAGAGCTACAGAATGTCTATTTGTTTGAAATGTCATCCTCATTTCTGTCCCTTTGACAGCCCAGCATGTCCAGAAAAGTGTAAATGTATCTGCAAACGAATCAAGTCTAATTGTGTTTCTGTTACGGCTCAACAAGCATTGAATATACCGGTAAGCTCTTAATCTATTCAACAGAACAAATATTCATAGTTAAATTAATGTAACTGATTGCCTATAAACTACTGTAAGGGGTAAAATCCTAAAATAGCTCACATTTTGGCAATTTTTTGAAACATCGTCATGCTGGCGATTATTACTGGGATCAACGTTGTTTCTTGACTATTGAAAACAATTAAATTATTACTATTTTATTAAAATATTTCTTAAAAGAAATTAATAAAAATTAAAAAAATAAATGATTAATAACGTTAATAAATGAAATAATGTTTCAAAAATGAAATAATAACTATGATTGTAACAGCAAGAGATCAAAAGCATAAATGGCAAAAAAATAAACCCTTTTACCTCTTTTCTAACGAAATCCAACTTATTCAATTAGATATATGTTATTATTATTTTAGTAAATTTTATATATATTATTCTTTTTTTTAATCGCTATGTTTACTTTTAACCAGTTAAGTTATGATATTTAATAATTCAGCTGCTCAATTTGAAGAAAATATTAAAGGAATTTTTTAAGTGATTTATAAGAAGTTGGTATATATTTATTGAATACCGGATTACAAAAAAAGCTGCAAAATCAGGTTGTAAATTGGTCTGCTGTTCAATAACGGTTATAAAATAAAATATAACCAGCTTTCAAGCATGCCACAATAGAAACATTTTTAAAATTTCTTTCAATTATAAAAACCTGGAAGTGGCATTAAAGCATCTTGGTCATTGCATTTGGTGCGTTTAAGATTCCACATGGGAATGAAAAATGAGAAATTAATGTCCACTCAAATATTCTGTTACCCGGCTTACTAAAAAGATCATAAGTTTACTTATAACGTTATGTTTTATATTTTCAGGAACTGCATTCCAAAAGATCTAGAACAGGAACTTCTTTAGAATGTCTGAGCACTAGAGAACGTGTATTTGGAATACCTTATGATCCAAGAAAAGATTTGGACATTCCAGTTCCAGATAGAGATGTAAATGAGTATCTTAAGTATAACTTCGATAACATGGAGAGTGAAATCTTAAAGGATTACGTAAAAGGCACTTGTTGCTTAAACACTTGCACTTGTTCAAGAGGGCCTGAATGTCGTTGCCATTTAATGAAAGATAAGAAGCACTAAAAATGTGTGAATAAATCGTCTTTTAAAAATTTTTATTCCTAAATATCATAAGTTTGTGATTTATTATTTGACAAATTTTGCAAATTATTAAACAACTAGTAATAAACATAAAATTGGTATACTATAGACATGTTTCTTAATCATTTTTAAATTTGACATCCTTTTATTAGCTACTTTCAATCAAATTGGTTTAACATTCCAAGTTCCATGGCATTCTTTCAGTTGAAACCAGGTTAAGCATATTTCTGCTCTTACAGGAAGGTTATTTACTATTAAATAAAAAAGTGTTCTGAACAATAAATGTTTATCTGATAATGAACTTATTATTATTTGAAAAAATTCCATGAATTCATAAAAACTTACTGAAAAACGTTGTCAGTTTTGTAATTGAGTTATAGGCATATTTTCAATGTTTGGAATGAATTGAATTGAAAAACTAAAAACTAAAAATTATTTTTGAATTTATATTAGTCAGACACTAAAAAATAAGAAGTTTTTACAAATCAATAATGTTATTGCCATTTGATAAAAAAAAATCAAAATCAGTGATAATTTACAGTTATAAGCCCAAATGGATATGAAACACAGTGATGAAATTGAACTGAAAGGCTTATTTGTTGCCCATAATTTACCATTTTATTTTAACTGGCAGTTATTAATAGGTAAGAAATCATAGGATTTCGATCATGTTTACTAGAAAAGCTTTTCAAAAGTATTGGTATGCTTTAAACCCTGGTAGATTTGATTACACTATTTTATTTCACTTCCTTAATCCATTGCTTCAGAATTTTTTATTAAATATATATTTTCATATATTTTTTATTATTTTACATTATTTGGTAAAAAAAAGTGAAAAACATTTTAGTTAGCAATTTAATAGTTTATGATAATGGAATGCAGCGTGAACCAACGGTGTCTTTTAGTTGAGTTAAAGGTAAAATCTTTGAAACATGGCTCACTTCCAGCGATACTTTTTCAAACTTTCACTTATTTAAAATTAACTATATCCAAGAGAAACATTTATTCATCATTTAAATTTCTTCAATTTACAAAATCAATTATTGATATAGTTTTGAATATGAATGAAAAAACTAAATTACTTATTTTGAATTTTATATTTTTGTGCAAATATAATTCCGATAATTCAAGAGAACTTTTTAGTAACTATTTGACATTTTATAATTTAAAAATACTAAAATTTTTTCCTCTTGTAATAAAATTGTTTGAAAAAATATATAAAAGGTTCACAGGCGTCAAAGGGTTAAGTTGAGATAGAGAAAAGATGGAATTTGTCAATAATTTTCTTCGCACACTTTTTCGTCTACTAAGGCTCTGAAATATTGCGCAAATGTACAGACGTATGTTACTAAAGAAAATACAATATTTTAATACTTTTAAATTTTAAAAATAAAACATTTTTTTTCACGAAATTAAATTCCTAAAATTTACTTAAGTTTTATACTCTTTAGACCAAAACAATGCCGAAAGAGTGTTAGAATTCTTTTTACGTTAGTTAAAGAAATATTTTCTTAAAATATTAATTTGAATTTTGTATTCTTTGAAACTTAAAATATTTTATATTTTTAGTTTTTAAGTATTTAAATGACATAAATATTTTACTTAAGGCCATACAGTAAAGCCCGTTTTTCTTATTGAACAAACATTTAATATTTCAGATTAAACTTATAACAACCAATTATATTTTGAGACGTAGTTACATTAAACGTGATTAGTCAACGTGATTTGCAACTTTGACGTAAATTTCAATTTCTGGGTAAAATATTCCTGATATTTACGAGAGTTAGGAAACAAATCTAATTAATTTAAATTGATTAGTTTGGGATTAATCAAAGTTATTAATTGGATTTTATTCTAAATACAAAACAGGTAATTTTCTAATTAAGTCGAAATAAATTTTGATTCTTCTTTGTAATTAAGGCTAGAGAGCGGATCTTTTGTGTGACTATTTTCTTAAAATTCTTTTTAGTTAAACTTCTTATACTTGAAATAAAGGAAATCTTTCGTTTGGAAAATACTTTCCTTGTAACATATTTACGTTATCAAATTTAAATATGATTGTTAAATGTAAACATTTGAAGGCTACAATTTCAGATTGGTTGGCATTTTATGAAGCTTAATTCTATTTCTGTAGCTAAAAGACTTCTTATTTTATGTAACCTAATGTTGTAATTAAATATGCCTGGGTATATATAATTAATTTAGTTTTTTTTGAATCTCAGAGAATTTTTATATTTATCAGTTAATTATGTAATTTAGAAAGGAAAATTTTAAACATTTATTAAATTATTTTGTTTGTTTTATGTATTGGAATGGGAAATAAATCAATATATATTTTAATTCATATTGTTCAATGCTTAGGTCTTCGTCATTAAAATACAAACATCACATATATAAATTATTTTATCTTAAACTGGTTTCTATATTGTTTCTAATGTATGACCTTCGCTATTAAATCTTTTGTGAGCAACAAATTATATTTACAAAAGTGTTTTAAGACTCTACAGCGTGCTGCAGGGTAAGGCTGAGTCCAAATGTTTATTCCATCAAGAATTATCTATGATCACAGCTCTCCAACAAAGTTCTCTCCCAATTTCATATAACTTTTTGCCAACTGCCTCTAGCCATCTGATGTTTGTTCTACGTTTTGGTTTTCCTTCATATTTTTAAAATGTCACTTGTTTGTCGAATATAAATCATTGTAAATTATAAAATTTATTGTGGAATTATTAAAGAGGAATATTAATGTATATATTATTAGAAAAAATATTGAATGTAATTGTATCAGACCTATTAAAAGAACATAGCAATAATTTAAAAAATAATTCAATAAAATTAATTTAAATTATCTGCTCAAATGCTTTTTCAATAATTGAAAGTACACAAAAATTCCAAAAGTTTGAACTTAATGGTCACGAATCCTTACATTTTGCATCTAAGTATGTTACAAATCTCAATGCATCATAATTTGAATATCTCATGAATTTACGAATTTGTATTGAAAGTAAAACATATTTGATCGATTAGGATACTCGAGATTCTTAATTAAATTGGATTATGCTTGGAACTCAAATTGAAAAAAATTGAGAGAGGATTTAGAAAAGAAAAAAAATAATGCAAAAAAATCAAGTCGCTCCAAAACAAGTTTCCTTAATTACCAAATTGCATTAAATAACTAATTTATGATATTTTTGGTAAGGTGTGCAAAGTTTGTTGAAGGAGAAAAATTAAAGGTTGTTTTGCTTTGATAAAAATGCTGTTTTGATACACGGAGAAAAAAATTGGGTAAAATTACTATACTGTATGTTAATGATATTTCTGATACAAAAAATTATAATTCTGCTTAATAGAATATTAACTAGAATATTTGATATTTAAATCATTCATTTGATACCGTTTTCGTTCGTATGGTAATGGTTTACAGAAAATTCTGGTTCTAAAAAATTATAGTTATTTTTACCACAAATTTAGTAACAAATGTAAAACTTGAAAGTAAATTTTACCGATTTAATTGTTTTTATGCCAAGTTTTGTAGTATCATGATAAAATTACCACATTTTTTATCACATATTGTAAAACCATTTTTTATTGTTTGCTTTTCCAAAATCATCACTAAAAAGCTTCGATAAAAATTACTGAGCTTTTTGGTACTCCCATAGGGCCAAAAACAAAGTAATTTTTCTCATATTCTGATAGTTTTGACAATACTTTTTTTTTCAGTGTACGCACAGTAGACTGATATTCAGTGAACTGATTTCTTGAAAATTAAAATAAAATTTATTCATATGCGTCTTGCCAGAAGTTCAGTATTTATTGTGGCGATAAAGCAATAGTATGAAAGCTTGCACACTTTTTGTTTTAAAACATCATGAATGATACATAGTAAAAATAAAAATGCCTTTAAAATGTAAATGCAAGAAGCTGTTCTTACTGATTTTATCTGATTCAGGAAAGTGACAGAAGTATATATGGCCTTGAGAAATGCATCTTTTGAAATATTGAGTATACGTGAATATCCATGCATTTTCTAAAAGAAATACATTAGGAAGCTTAAGAATTTCTGAAATATAGTAAACATTTTAGAAAATGTCTTTATTAGACTGGATGGGAAGCTTTTATATGGCGGTAAGAGCATTTCGGTTTTGCAGTAAATTTGTATCTTTAGTGCATTGCAATTTCGAAACATTTATCATTTTGAATGTTATTTATTATCATTCGAGTCTCTAATATACTTAACATACTTTAGTCAATTTTTCCTCTGCATTTAAATTTACAAATTTGGAATACTTTTTTAAAATATGAGTTCTATCAAGATTCTTTTATCTCTTTTTATATAAAAGCGAAAATCTGTCTGGATATTTGTTCACTAATAATTTTAGAACAGCAGCACCGATTTGTAATGTGTTTTTTTCAGCAGTTTGTCAATTTTTAAGAGGGACTTTGTAAACAATCACCTCTTTCCGGAGTTGTGTGATTAGGACACGGTATCGGAAATACGAAATTTTAATAATAAAAACTATTACTAAAGATTACGGGCTGTCACGGAAATAGCATTTTTATAAAAGAAAAATTAAAAATTGAAGCAGACGAAACCAGTAGAAAAAATTAAATATCCTTAATTACTAAACGCATACTTTAGGTGCTACAACAAAGCGTATCAGAAACAAATTGGCAGGCAAAGGTAACTTTTCGAAAGTTGGAGAAATATTATATATTACTGAAGAAATATTATATATTCTTATTAGTGTTTATGATAAATATAAATATACTTATTCTTATTCTTCCAAACAGCTGCTTTCAATTTCAAATATATAAAATTTATAAAATTCTATTGCTAAAACATTTTCAAACCGATTATTAAAAGGAATAATTAGTTGCCCCCATCTTTTTTTGATTAGTTTATATACATTCGATAATTCATATTTTAAATTCTCGAATTATATTATTATAACGTTATTATTCTTTAGATAAAATTATTATAA